TTTCAGAAGAATACACAGTGTGACAGCACTTAAGTAACGTTTTAAAATATATGAAACAATACTACATGTTGCCCAGGGGGGCCTACACTTACAATGAAACCAGGGAGAAACGCAAGAGAATAAACTGGACATTATGAGCAGGGAGAAGGTTCAGGCACACAAATGTGTCCCAGTGCGTGCCCAGGGATCGGCATGCCAATCCCTGCGTCTGAAAGACCCCTTCCTCTTTTCTGGAAGTGAATGTCGCTGTCCTCAGACCCTCTTCCCAGGGGCCGAAGGGCAGGTAGCACTTGCAGAGGCCAAAGTGGGCGTGTGGAGGGGCCCGGGCTCCTCAGCCTTCTGACGACACTTGGCCGCGATGAAGGCAGAGGGCAACGGCCGGCGGAGTGAGCCCTCTCCAGTGTGGGTGGAGGCCAAACCAAAGGCCCCTGACTCATGGGCCAGCCCCCCACGCCCGCCCTAAAAATACCACCTCTGGCCTCTATGACTCCTTGGTGACAGGACTCCCACAGCACCCCTCCTCCTGTCCCCCGCCCTGCCCCCAGTCCATCTGTCTGGGTCACCCAGTTCAGTTAGCTGGCGCTCGAGGCCATGGCAAACAGACTCGGGCGAGGTCCTTGGGAAGAAAAGAGCTCCCCGAGGGGGCAGCCGTCAGACAAAGAGCCAGCTGCTCCTCAGGCCACTCACCCGTTCCTATCGGAAGAGTGACTGTCCTCGGCCAGTCATTCGGAAAACACCAAGAACTTCCTTCAACCTGTCTCCAGGGGCTGGGGAGCGTCTCCCTGCCTCCCTGCGCCTTCTTTCTGGCAACTCTCCACGGGACCCCACACACCCTCCCTTCAAAGAGGGCCAGGGCAAGGAGGGGCGGTGGTGCAGTCTCTAGACACAGGAAGGGTGGGCACAGCAAGGCCTGGCACAGCAAGGCATGGCACAGCGGGACGAGCTCGGAAACTGCCGGAGGCCCCGCGGCTGGCCTGCAGAGTTCTGAGCCGGAGGAGGACACCTGAGACACCAGCAGGGCACTCCCGTCGTCCCGCAGCGGGCACACCGAAGCCGGCACAGCGGAGAGGCCTGCCCGGGGCTGACGAGACGGGAGTGACACACAGAGAGGAGGTGACCCGGGCCTTGGGGTGGCCAGCTGTGCCCTCTCTGCCACACCCTGCTGCCACCCTGCCTCTTTCCTTCCCTCCCTCCCCCAACGTGGTCAGGAGAGCAAGGAGGGAACAAAGAGGAGTGGGAGAGGAAGGACTTTCACAAAGCCCCCTCCCCTCTCCCACAAAAGCAGGCCATCTGCAACAACGCTCGGGGGCTCCCTGCCAGGCGGAGCGCTCCCTGGCTCAAATGGAAGCTGGAGGATCACCTGCTGGAGTGCCAGGTGCTGCACAGGGCATCTGGGGCGAATGTCTTCTGAGCCCCTCGCACATTAGATAAGTATCCACTATGCCGACCAGAGACGGAAAGGCGCCCGAGACAAAGCGAAGGACGCCCTAGCCAGAGAAGGCCTGGCACAGCCCGCAGGTGGCAGAGGGTCAAAGGCAGGTTATCCTGAAGCAGGGAAGAAGGGACCACCCTCATCTTCCCCAGCTGAAATCCCTTCGGTATCCTTAACATCATCAACAAGGTCAGCAGTGGGTATTTATTGATGGCTTAGCCGACGTCAGCCCTGTGCTGAGTGCTGGACACGCACTGTTTCATTCATTCGCACCACTCCAGGAGGTGACACTGTGGGCAGAGAATCCCATGGATGACGAGGCAGAGGCAGTGACCACCCAGGTGTGCCAAACTAGCAGGGATGTCCAACCTGAGGCCCAACACAAAATCGTAAATTTACTTAAAACGTAAGGTTTTTTTTTTTGTAATTACGGGTCACAATGCATTTAATATGTGGCCTATGACAGCTCTTGTTCCAGTGTGGCTCAGAGATGCCAAAAGGTAGGACCCCCTGTGAGTCTAAAGCGTGCATTCCGCACCAGGGTTCTCAAAGAGCCACCCGGACCAGAAGCAGTGCCGCCAGTGCCCTCCAGGTCAGACGTCACGGAGCACAACCCACCCAACAAGCCACCCGAGTGATTCTGATGCCAGCTGAAGTTTGCCAGCTAAGTGCTCTGATCACTTCCCAGAGCTGCCCACAGGGAAAAACTGACATGTCTCTCTGCCCGGAGGTCAAGGCCACAGGGCTTTTCCTACTCCAGCTCCTGGGCAGCTCCCCCAACCCAGCAGGGCCTTACCCCAAATCCACGGCCCAGGCCCCACTCTGCATCTCATCCTCTTTCTGGGGCCTGGGCTTGGAGCCATCTCCCTCCAGAAGCCCCCTGCCCACCTGGTGCCCCCAAACTGCTTCGAACCCCAGTCAGACTTCCTGCCGGGCACTTGCCGGCACACGGTGGCTTCCAGACAGTGCTCAGAGCACACTCCTCCCCTGTCCACTCCCAGGTCCTCAAGGGCAGAGTCAATTCCTCTGCGCCTGAGCATCACGCCACTTTCACAGCACCGGGCAGGAGGGCCATCGGGAGGTGTTTGGGGGCTGTCAGAAGGAAAAAAATGCTTTGGGCAGCAAGGTCCGGTTCTCACCCTGACTCTGCCACCACCTCCCCGGGACAAGGGCCTTCCCATCTCAAGGTCTCCGTTTCCTCACGTGGGAAATGCACCGTTATTCTAGTTTCTTCAATTCTGCTCACCCACTGAACAAAGCCAGGGGAGCCTTACTCTCGACACTCTTGTCTAGTAGCAGAGATGCGCACAGGAAATTAAAGAGGACGCACCCTTCTATCCTGGGAAGAGCAGAAGGTAACAGACAAGTAAACACTGCAATTACCATATGCCAGACACTACATTCTACACATATACCTTCTCAGTCACAAATAAACAAGATTATTGCAGAGCAGGGCAAATGTGTGAAAAAAAACAACAATAGTTTCATGACAGAAAGTGAAAAAAGGGGCTACTTTGCATAAAAAGGTCAGGGAAGGCCCCTCCAAGGAGGTGACATTTGAGCTGAGACCTGACAGGCAGGGAAGAACCAGCCGTGGAAAGAGCTGGGGAAAGGTGTTCCAGGCAGAAGGAGCGACATACAAAGGCCTCACGGAAAGAACAAGCTTGGCAGGGAAGGAAAGCAGGTGCCACGGCTAAACTGCAGTGAGTGCAGAAGTAAGGGAGCACCCAGTGGTACCCAGACAGGGAGGCGGGCAGACAGCCTCTTACAGTGCTAAGGTGTTCAAATCGGGTGGGCCCGACCCAACCCAGTACATCCGGGCCCAAGTCACAAGCAGCACTGGGGGCAAGGGTGTGAGTCAGACCCCACGGCTTCCTGAGGCCCCAAAAGACCTGGTGTGGGCATAAGGGTGGGCACGAACCCTCAGCATGAGTGCTGCGCCATACCCACGGGACACCCACAGGAGGGGGAGAAACAGAGTCACCTAAGCATATAAAACACAGGACACTCATGGCTGTAGCTTCCAGAGGGACATGATCAAGTGCTTCCACGAAGTACCAGTCCCTGATCACATTATTTTCCCGGGACACAGCCAGGGCAGGAGCCGTGGTCCGTGGAAAGGAAACAGGTTCCAGGGTTCAACGCTTACTAGTCTGCGGCAAGTCTTAACCCTTTGGGGCCTCAGTTTCCTCATCTGAAAATTGAGGCTCCTAACAGAGATGATCTCCTAGGACTGCTGAAAAGATTAAATGAGATGCTGAATGTAAAGCACCGTGCCTGGCACACAGTGAGTGTTCACAAATGTAAGCTGTTATTACCGTTACTGGTTTTTCACTGCCTCATCTCCCTCTGCTGTAAAACAGGGATACTGATACATCACAGCATTGCTATGAGTTTGTACTAATAAATGTGCCATCCTACAATGCAATACCCATTGTCAGGAATCAAAAAAAAAAATTGAGTCTCCTTTCCTGATCTCTCATCAGATGCCAAATTCCCCTCGACCATACCTCACTGTTTGGAAAGTGAGTAAGTGCTGCTTAAATTCCACTTTGACTATACTGTGAAGTAAAAATGATGCATTAGGAATCCACAGATTCCCCTGCACCGTCATTCTGCAAAGGGGTGGGGATGGATGTTGCTGATTCTTCTGCATCATCCACAAAAGTCCCGCCTCCCCCCCCACACCCCCCCGGAAGCAAAACACAATCTGTCAGCCCAGTCACACAAAATTCCCACCCACTCCCATACACACAATTAATGAATGTAAAAATGCCTTCACTTCCATACACATCACCGCATGCACACAAATATTCTAGAGTGGAAAAGTCACCCATACATAGAAACGCCACACCCCAAATCACTCCCTGAAACTCACTACTGCTACCCTGCAAACGCACACAAATGCTGTCTCCCACACTGTGCAAATAGGCTCAACAGGGCAAGGACTCTGGAGCCGAATGCCAGCTTCCGAAGCCGAATGCCAGCTTCCGAAGCCTGGCTTTGCAACTCCCTAGCTGCGCGACCCCAGTCTCCAAGTGCCTCGGCTGAAAACAAAATAGGAATAATAATAATAATGCTCATTTTGAAGATAGATGTGACAATTAAATGAATTTAATGCATGTAAAGGGTTTAGATCAAGTGCTTGGAAAGTGTCCAATGATGGTTATTATTCTCCTCTTCATTACCTTTGCACACTGCTTCCAAAACTGGTCTCCCACTCTGTAAACAGACTCAGGCCCGAATACTCCCTGCACCGGGATGGTGTACGCCGCCCACAAGCTCTGCGTTCGCTCGCTCTCCGTTTCTAGGCGTGCTTAAGTATGCAGTGCGCACGCGCACCCACCACCCTCCGCGCGGGGCAGGGTTTCCCCACAGAGCTGGACCCCCTGCCCCCAAGCTGTCCTCGGAGGCGCCGGGCACCCTGAGACCTCATGTGCGGGAGCCCAGGAGCCAAGGAGCCCAGGCCACCAGGCCGGGCCTGGCCCCGCACTCCTTGTCCAGTCACTGAACTGCCGGGTCTTAGACTCCCTTCCTCCCGCTCCATCCACAGGCCCTGCCTGCTTACCTGAGGATGAGGGCCTTGAGGGACAGCGCCCCACTCTCCCGGTCCAGCCCCAGGTCCACGGACTAGGTAGCGACCAGGCCGGGCTCCGGCGCCGCAGCTCTCCAGTAGCTCCTCCAGGGAAGGGGCTGGGACGGGGAAGGGGCTGGGACGAGGAAGTGCCCGGCGAGGGGGCCGGGCTGCCCCACCCCTGGGAAAGTCCCCGGAGATTGACAGGCCGATCGTCCAATCGCACCGCATGGTCCGGACGGGCCCGCGGCCAATAGGGTGGGACCCAGCGAGGTAAACAACCCGAACGGCAGCCGAGTGGCCGCGAGTATCCAGTTCCACAGGCCGGCAAGTTCCCCAGGTCTGGGCAGCTCCCGACCGCACTCCCCGCCCCGGAAGCCTCGGGCTGTGGAATGAGGCTACGGCCACCTTGAAAGCCCAAATTTAGCGTGGAGATGAGTTGCGGGGACCACCCCACAACTTCCTGTGCGGATGGACACCAGGCTAGAGTGAGGGGGATGCTTGCCAGAAGGCACGTAAGCCCTTGGAGCTAAGCCAGAACTAAAGCCCAGGGCCGCAGAGTTCTGTGCAGGACTCTCCCGGACCTCCTAGCAGAGCTCATGGGAATTCCGAGCTGAAAGGACCCTTCAGGACTGTTAATACTAAAATTTACTCCTGTAAGCACTTTGCATGCATTACTTTAATTTGCACAGCCACCCTAGTGAGGTGGGGTTCGTCCCCCTCTCCCCCGCCCCACCGTGTTTTGTTTTGTTTACCATAAACATGAGAAGCACGGAGAGGTTGGATGACCTCCTTGTCTGAACCAAGATTCAAACCCAGATAGACAAATCCAGAGTCAGCCTCCTGCCCTGCCTACTTATATACCTTTGGTGGGCCAGTCATCCCGACATGCTGTGGGATTTCCCAGATCCATAAGGAGCAGAACTTGGTTTAAAGTTGGAAACACTCTTTTCCCCTCTTTTTAAGATCATTTTAAAGAGGGTAAGTTTTAACGTTAGAAAGGATTTGAGGAGCGATTTCACACAGGCCCTTATTTTACAAAAGGAGAGCTCTGTCAATGGACCGCGACTGTGCAAACACACACAGACACTCGTACGCAACCCAGTATATGCCTGATCCAAGCACTCTCTTTTCAGACTTTGTGACATCCCAGGATGCCTTCAGTCATTTCAAAGGTGTGATCGAATTCTCAAAAGAATATTAATCCTAGTCCATTTTAATTATGAAAATAAGTACACATAGACCCATATTCCAAAAAAAAAGGAGGGAGGACGGGATGCAAATACCAAAGCACCACTGCTTTGGGAAAACCAGAGGGAGCGAACAGAGGTCTCAGAATCTATATGGCAGCCTTCAGGCATCACCTCTATCCATGGGGTCCCCCCAAACCTGTTTAATTCCTGTTCTTCATCTGTACCCCCCAAATGACCTCTTCTTAGAATGCTCTCTTCCTAATCCCAACCCAAGTCTTCTCATGAGCACCGAAATTCACTTAAAAAAAATGAAGTGTCTCAAACTATTTGCATTCTGTGTCCAAACTACTTCAGCTGTTTTTGTAAAATGCCTGGCTGACCTTAAGAGTTAGGAAAATAAGTTCATTCTCCAAAATGCCAGATGATTCCTAAGTGGATCTTTTTGGAAATGCTCTAGTATGACATAAAAAGTTCACATAGCCATCTTTTTGCCTAATTTCCTAGTTTTGGGTAATTTTTCATAACAATTACAATGTGTGAAAAAACTCCTCTCTTCAAAGTCATGACCACACCCACCCCTGCCATCCTTTTAAGTCTTTGACTTCAGAACATCCCACCATGTCAGAGGCCCTGGAGACCACCTGTCGCAGACACTGGCCCGCAGTGCCCACGTCGTTATGGATGAGACGAGATACATTTACACAGACTACCGACTCCTGTGGAGGAAAGGGGCAGCACGGCTACTCTCTCAAGAGGAGAGCGCCCCAACCTTTGCCTTCACAGGTTTTTATTGGCTTTCAATGTGCACAGGAATACAGGTAAAGCTCATTAATCATTGTCAGGCAGTAAGGTTCAAATGATAGATAGCATACAAAGAACTACAAGGGCTTATCCTGAGTCAGGGTCTGTTAGCTAAGGGGCTACAAAACTTTGAGAAACAAACTCATTTCCTGCTTGGACCCTTATCATTTAATTGAGCGCATTCTTAGCAAAGCGGGTTTCACAGGATTTTACCTATTCTTTCTCAGGCCCGATCACCCAGGGAACCCGCCTTTTCCAGCACAGGGCTGCACTGCCCTCTGTCATTGTTTCAGGTTTAAGTCAGGCAGGGGAAGTAAGGCAGCCAGGAGATTAGGAGATTTCTCACAGACAGACTGAGGACTCAGGCTATGTCAAAGCTGAGGGGCGAGGGTCCATCACCCAATTTTGCTATAGCCCCCCAAGTCCTTCCCTGGGGCCTCCCCGTGATCGTGCCTGTCTTAGGTTGTTCCCCCCTTGGGGAATCTCACCCGTCATTGGCTAACTGACCAAAAATTGGGGGCCAGGCAGGGTGAAGAAAAAGGAGCAGAAGCAGCGCCCCTGCCAGGGAGATAAGCTTTGTCTCCTTAGTGGCTTATGGTCCAAAGGTCGCTCACTCAGGCTTAGCCATGGGGAGTTACAGCTTCTGAAACCAGGCAGGCCGGTTCCCAACAACCACCGATCACAGCCCCTTATTTGACAGCTTGGTCAGTGGAGGCCTCAATGTAGTAAAGGACTTGTTCAAGGTCACACATGCTGAGTGATGCGACCAGGGTTGGAACTCAGGACCTGGGCTCCCAGGCACCTGTACACTTTGTATCGCACCATGTCATCTTTACAATATCCTAATTTTCTTACTTTCTTACAGAGACTCAGCGCCCATGAACATAGGCTATGAATGTAATTAACGAAATTCTAACCCCTACTTGACCAATTACCACCTGGGTGGCTTTTCTAAGCCTCAGTCCCTCTCGGAATGTGGGGGTTAATAATTGTCACCCCTCAGGTGATCCTGAGGATAAATGAGAAAATGCAAGGAAAGCCAGAGCTTGGCAAACAGAAGGCACTCGAGAGATGCTAGTGGTGCATGGACGTGGGTTGCACGCACTGGGTAGAATGTCGCCATTAAACCCTGAGATGCAACCTTCCCAAGTTCTAGTGCACCACCCACATCCACTGTGGGACCCTTGACTGGGGGCCTGGCAGGGGGGGAAACAGGTCGCCTAGCCTGTCACCGCCTACTCCCCCTGGATCTGGATGATTTCCAAGCCAGGAAGCAGGGCCTGCCACTGGGAGCTGAGTGACTCAGGCACATGAGAACCTCTTGTTCTTCCAGAGTGACAAGAAGCACCTGTGCAAAGCCCCACCTGGGAGGACAATCAAAAAGAACTGTGTTTTGTTTTGTTTTGTTTTGTTTTGTTTTGTTTTGTTTTGTTTTGTTTTAAAGCACACAGCGTCCCACTCTCCTTTCTGCCACTCCCTCTGCCACCTCCACTGAGACAGCTCCAAAGTCAGACCTAAGTCCGCATTTGAGGGATTGAAAAAACACCCCCAAACCCACCTATCACTGATTGAGCTCTAAGTCAAATGACTAAAGAGGAATGGAGGCTACGTGTTAAAAAAAAACATGGACAGATAACATTTGTGGAGTGTGTGCTGTGTGCTAGGCCTACACTTTGATATGACGTGTCTCCCAGTCACTGCCTAATCAGGTCAGGACCATCACCACCCCCATTTCTCACATGAAACTGAGGCTCGGACCTGTGAGATGACGGGCAAGGGCTCATACAGCAACAGGTAACTGGAGCAGGAAGATCCAGGCTCTTAAGCTCTTAATACCCGTAAACATTACGTTACTGAGTTCTGCCAGCTAGCAAGACAGAACTAAAAATGCCAGTTCTTTTAAGGGCTGTGAGCAAGGATCAGACCCAGCCTTTTTCTTGTGGAGATGAAGGCACAGTGGGCCAGAGGTTTACAACAAGTTTGTGATTAGTGCTCGGGACTAGAACTCAAGTCTCCCGCTTCCAGATCAGCACTGTTTCCACACGCCCCACTGATGGGAAATGAAGCTTCCAGAGCAAATAAGCACGTGTGTGTGTCACTCATCATATGAATTAGTGAGTCGGGGCCTTGGCTAGGGGGTCAGTGGAAGTCAGGGCAGTCCTGGTCCTTCCTTAGATCCAGACTCTCGCCTCCATAGCCTCAGGCCGTCTCGGGAATGTAGAACTCTTATCATAAATTCTAGGTGCTTTTTGGTGTTGGGTGTGTGTGTAGAGGAGAGAGAGATCGCAGCGATAGTTAAATGAGAAATGTGTATCAAGCACATGATGTTGACTGAAGTTGTACTTAGTAATCGTGGGGCTTTTTTGGCAAGAAGCAAATAAGCAAGCAGAGTCTACGTTCCTTGCTTCCTACTCTCAGCCAGAGAACACATTTTTAGTTCTCTCTACCTCCCTCCCAAATAATTGAATGAGGGCAGAGAGATATAATGGCAGCGAGGTAGCCACAACTGTGCACACTTATTCACTCGGCACCCCGAGGTGAATTAACCATATACCCACAATTGCCCTTCCTCCAAGAGGCAAGGGCTTCGAGGGTCAGGGTGCGGGCTCTGGAGTCAGACAGAGCTGGGGCTAGGTCCCAGCCCTGCCACCACGATTCCCCTTGGGATGGCTCTGTGCCTGTTTCCACGTCCGTAACGTGAAGGTTCAAGCTGTGCCCAGTGCACGGGGTGGAGCAAGTGAAATGCCCAGTGCCTGGCATCAGCGAAAAGCAGCAACAATGACTGTGATAATCAATTCTATTGGGTGGGCAGGGACTGTTTATCTCCTATTTCCTGCAAGGACCCTACCACAGCCTAGAGCCGGGGAGGAGCTTGCTCTAGACCTCACCAAGTGTGTGCTCAGGATTGCCAGGCCTAGAAGGTCTTTCCTGTTTTCCTCTTTCTCCATCCTGACTATTTCCTCTGAGTCCCTGGACTTCCCTGGGATTTCTGGGGCACCACTGGAGGAGAGCAAAGGGCGAAGTGACACTGGGGGACATTCCCAGACTACGTAGCCTTGCCAGGCCCCTCCCACAGTTCCTAGGAATCCAGGCCTCCTCTGCTCCAGCTCCTCTCCTCCTGGCCTCCTGGTCTCCAGGTCAGGGTGTCAAGCAGATCTGGGTTTAGATCCA